TTCAGTTTTAGAGCAGAAAATCTAATGACTTTGTAAGAATGTCATATTACTCAGTGGAATTGTACCTGTTCATTGTTAGATTTTTAACAGATCCTACTATTACTATACCTTCTGGTTAGCAGTCAGATGCCTTAGGCACTATGCTACCAGAGCTCCCTTTGTATTGCATTTGCATTACTATATTAAGGTAGACAGGAATTTTACCCATTTTAATAATGGAAAAGCAGGAAGATGAATACATTAATCAATTTCCAAACTATTTAAAACCCATTGATGTGGAGCTGATCCCAACTCATGGCAGTCACAGACAGGTGTTACAGGTAGAACTGCTCCCTGGGGTTTTCTTGGCTGTAATCTTTATGGAAGCCAATCTCCAGAACTTTTTTTCTGTGGCACAGCTGGGTGAGTTCATACTATTTAAGGTTCTTTTGAAAGACAGTTGGGCTGAATCTCTTTAATTTAATAATTGAAGTAATGAGAGTGGTTGTGATGCAGTGAATTAATGTGACCCCTGTAGCTGTAGTCTTTGTAACTCCAACCAAATAACTGGATTGTTGTTGGATGCCATCAGGTTGGCTCTGACTCGTCGTGACCCTATGTACAATAAATGAGTGACTGCCTGTTCCTGTGCCATCCTCACAATCCTTGCTGTGCTTGAACCCATCACTGCAGCCACTACATCAATCCGTCTTGTTGAGGGTGTTCCCCTTTTTAGCTGACCCTCTACTTTACCAAAGGAGCTCCAGTGGCCCAGTGCCTAAGGCATTTGACTGCTAATCAGAAGGGTGACAGTTCAAACCTACCAGCCACTCTGCGAAAGGAAAACTGGGCAATCTGCTTTCATAAAGATTTACAGCCTTGGAAACCCAAAGGGGGCTGCTATGAGTAGGATTCCATTTGATCACAGTGAGTTTCTACTTTACCAAGCATGGTATCTAGGGACTGGTCCCTTCTGACAGCATGACCAAAGTAGGTGAGAAGTCTGGCCATTCTTGCTTCTAAGGAGCATTCCAGCTGCACCTTTTCCAAAACAGATTTGTTCATTCTTCTGGCAGTCTGTGGTATTTTCAGTAGTATTCGCCAGCACCACAATTCAGAATTCTTCTTTAGTTTTTGTTACTCATTGTCCAGCTTTGACATGCATATGAGGTGATTGAAAATACCATGGCTTGGGTTAGATGCACCATAGTCTTTGTAGTGTATCTTTGCTTCTAAAGTGGCATCTTTGCTTCTGAACACTTTAAAGACGTCTTTTGCAGCATATTTGCCCAGTACAGTATGACGTCTGATTTCTTAATTGCTGCTTCCATGGGTGTTGATTGTGGATCAAAGTAAAATGAAATCCTTGACAACTCAATCTTATCTCCATTTATAATGAAGTTGCTTATTGGTACAATTGTGAGGATTTTTGTTTTCTTTATGTTGAGGTATAATCTATACTGAAGACTGTAGTCTTTGATCTTTATCTGTAAGTGTTCCAGTCATCTTCACTTTCAGCAAGTAAGGTTGTGTCATCTGCATATTGCAGGATATTGATGAATCTTTGTCCAATCCTGATGCCATATTCTTTTCCATATAGTCCACCACTTTAGATTATTTGCTCAGCATACAGATTGAATATGAATAAGTATGGTGAAAAGATACAACCCTGATGCACACCCTTCTTGATTTTCAACTATGCAGTATCTTCATGTTCTCTTTGAATGATAGTCTCTTAGTCTGTGTACAGGTTCCTCAAGAGCACAATTAAGTATTCTGGAGTTCCCATTCTTCACAATGTTATCCATAATTTGTTATGAATCACACAGTTGAATGCCTTTGCATAGTCAATAAAACACAGGTAAACATCTTTCAGGTATTCTTCACTTTCAGTCAAGATCCATCTGACATCAGCAGTGACGTTCCTCATTTGACATCCTCTTCTGAATCTGGCTTGAATTTCTGGTAGTTCCCTGTCAATATACTGCTGCAACCGTTTTTTGAATTACCTTCAGCAAGATTTTCCTTGCATGTGATATTAATGGTGTTACTCGATAATTTTCCATTCTGTTGGATTACCGTTCTTTGGAATGGGCATGAATATGCATCTCTCCCACATTTCTTGGCATAAACGAGTGAGCACCTTCAGTGCTACAACTGTTGAAGCATGTCAGTGAATATTCAATTCCTGGAGACTTGTTTGTCTCCAGTTCCTTCAGTGCAGCTGGGACATCTTTTTTCAGTACCATTGGTTCTTGATCATATGTTACCCCCTGAAATGGCTGAATGTCAACCAATTTTTTTCTTTTGTGCTTTGGGTGCAAATTTACAAAACAATTTTTTTTCCATTGAACAGTTGCTGTACATTTAATTTCATGGCCTTGATTACCATTCCCAACCATAAAAAACTTTCCTCACCTCCCCGTGACTACCCTTTTCCTGTGCCCTTCTTAACTATGCATTTCTGTCTATCCGGCTTTCCCTCTGTGTGAATGCTGCCCCTCCGGTGTCTCATGGCTGACTGCTCTAAGGGGTGCATCTCCCTAGCATAGGTGGGTGCATTGCTCTGGGGTAGGTGTTGTGCACGTAGATCTTTCTACTGTTGAGCTGAGAGCCAATGCATGGATGTGAGTCCAGTTCTAGGCCAGAAGGGTAGCCTGGGGCCATAGTCTCAGGGGGTTCCACCAGTCTCTACCCGGCCATTAATTCTGATCATTTTTGTGTTTTTGAATTTTGTTCTGGATTTGTCTTCTCCTTCTATCCAGGATCTCCAGTTTAATTCCTTTCCTAGTGGTTGGCATTGGTAACTAGGCACCTTTAGTTCTGGTCACGGGGTCATGAAGGCTGAGGTCCTTGTGGTCTATCTTATCCTTGGACTAATTGTTTCCAGATGCCTTTGATTTTCTTCACTCTTCTTTGCTCCAGTCCAGACAAGAGGAGACCAACAGTTGCCTCTTAGATGGCCACTTGAAAGCTTTAAGACCCCAGTCGCTACTCACCAAAAGTAGGTTATAGAACAAGATTTTTATGTACTGTATTGTGCCAATTAAGCATAAATGTCAATCATTTCTTTTTGGTACTGGACTAGATATATATTCCTTCCATCTTCTTTTGATGCTTCCTGCAGCATTCAGTACTTGGACCATAGAATCCTTCAGTATTGCAACTTGAAGCTTGAATTTTTTCTTCAGTTCTTTCAGTTTGAGAAATGCCAAGCATGTTTTTCCCTTGCAGTTTTGTATTTCCAGGTTTTTGCACATGTCATTATAATACTTGAATCACCCTTTGAAATCTTCTGTTCAGCTCTTTTATCTCATCATTTCTTTCTTTCACTTTAGCTACTATCCTTTCAAGAGCAAGTTTCAGAATCTTCTGACATCCATTTTGGTCTTTTCTTCCTTTCATGTTTTTTTAAATGGCCTTTTGCTTTCTTCGTGTATGATTTTCTTGATGTCATCCCTACATCTTGTCTGGTCTTTGGTCATTGATGTTCAGAGTGTCAAATCTGTTCTTCAGATAATCTCTAAATTCAGGTGGGATATAATGAATGTCATTTTGGCTCTCATGGACTTATTTTAATTTTCTTCAGCTTCAACTGAACTTGCAATTGGTGGTCTGTTACAGTCAACTCCTGGCTTTGTTCTGACTGATGATACTTGGTGGAGGCAATTCTTCCCCAGTCATATTTTGAGTGCCTTCCAACCTGAGGGATTCATCTTCTAGCACTGTTTTAGACAGTGTTTCACTGCTCTTGGTAAGGTTTTCAGTGGCCATTATTTTTCAGAAGTTGATGGCCTGGCCTTCTTCCTGGTCTGTCTAAGGCTGGAAGCTCCTTTAAAACCTGTCCACTATGGGTGACTCTGCTGGTATTTAAAATACCAGTGAGTAAGGCTTTTGACTGCTAACCCCAAGGTCAGTGGTTCAAACCTATCAGCTGCTCTGCAGGAGGAAGATGAGGCAGTCTACTTCCGTAAAGATTTACAGCCTTGGAAACCCAGTGGGGTTTTCTATGAGTTGGAATTGACTCAATGGCAGTGGGTTGTATAGCGTCCAGCATCACAGCAACATGTGAGCCACCACAGCTCATGACAAGCTGACAGATGAGTGGTAGAAATGACTGAGTAGGACTATGCAAAAGTGAGGTGCTTGAAGCCCACCAAGGGGATTGGATAACTTGTTACTAATGTGCTAGAAAAGCCATACCAAGTAATTCACTGTATCCCCGTTGGGGACTATCTGTAGTTACATATTAGCATTTACAACATTGAAAGTGGAAATTCTTCTCCATTGTTTCTTCATTTGACACGTTAATAATTTACTGAGCGTCTGCTATATGCAGTACATGGTCGAAGGCTTATGAATGGAAAAATATTCTGTACAGGAGAATGTTAAGTATTGTGATGTCATAGAATATATCACTATAAGAAAAAGACTTCACCTATAGTTTTTAGGACTTTAAAAAAAGTGAGTACTCGTCCCTTGGTACTTTCCATGTATGTATATTCTCAGATCATTTTTGTATACATATTTCTAGACACATAGTACTCAAAAAATGTTTGTTAAATCACTGATGAAGGAATTTACATTAATTAAAATAATAGAAAGTATATAATGTACATTACCAAAAGGGAGTATTTCTAGATAATGGATTTTATTCTTTAAGGGAAATTACAAAAAATTGATATATTTAGTAATTTCTTTGCATATGGCCATTATTCCAGAGCCTTGGTAGTACACTGGTTAAAGTGCTCGGCTGCTAACCAGAAGGTCTGTGGTTCAAATCCATCAGCTGCTCTTCAGGAGAAAGATGTAACAGTCTGCTTCCATAACGATTTACAGCCTTGGAAACCCTGCTTTGTTCTGTAGGATTGCTATGAGTTGGAATCAACTTGAAGGCAGTGAGTTTGGGTGGTTTTTTTGATTTGGCCATTATTTATTTTAATTGCAGCATTAACCTTTTGCTTTTGTGTTACAGCTGTTTTTAAGAGAAATGAATAGAAATAACCCATTTTGAGGAAGCCATGGCAAAATCAAATACAAAACACAGAACTTGTTGTCGAGAATCTTCAGTATCTTCTCTTCTAGCAAGCTGCAGCATGAGTGGTAGTAGTTCGTCTAATTCCGATGGCTCTTTCCAGTATAAGGATAAACTATACAGCTCTGCTTCTCAGGCTCTACAGGCCTATATTGATGACTTTGATCTAAGCCAAGTGTATCCTGGTGCCAGCACTGGAAAGATTAACCTTGAGGAGGGTTCTACTAATGTGTTAAAACTCTCCAAGTATTTTTATCAAAACAATGGTATGCTTTTAGTACTATTTATGTTTTCAACAATGTGTCCAATAATTTGAAGCCTTTGAGAAACATTCTGTAGCCTTGGAAAACTAGACTTTTTTTTTGTTGTAGTTCCTTTTGGGAAAAAATTTCTTACAGTATTGGAAACATGGGTATTTTTGTAAAATGATTCTCTGTCTCTCTGATGCTCAGGAATTTTTACCTAAGATCTTCTTTTAACCTTGGAGGGAAGCTGATGAATGTAACTGCTAATAGTAGGTGGCTGATCTAAAACCCTTAACACCATTGTGCTATAGCAAAATGGAAAGACCATTGACTTGGTTCTTTTATTGGGTTAATGGCTTTGAATAAGTCTCAATCTTTCCTACTCTGTACTCCAGGAGATAGGACTATATTAATCTTTACAGTCTGTGGAGCACTGATAATTGCAAAATGTTAAGAGTTTTTCCTTAATAAGGTTTCCTTGGGGACAAGTTTGGAAAATGTAGCTTGTCTATGAGTAAATTAGCACTTAACTGAGTACTTACTGCTAACCAGAAGGTTGGCAGTTCAAACCCCCCAGCCGCTCTGCAGAAGGAAGAGGAAGCAATGTACTTCTGTAAAGACTGACCACCTTGGAAACCCAGTGGTGGCGGCGGGGGTCGCTGTGCATCAGAACCCACTCAGTGGCAGGGAGTTTGATTAGACTTTTTGGAAACCTAAAACAGAAAAAGTTTGCTCTCCACTCTAGGAGGGATGTGGTCACTATATTCCCAATACGTTTAATAGCATAATTATTTCTGTGCTGCAGTCAGTATTGAGTGACCAATATTAATGTTTTAGTCTTGGCTAAGTCTAGATGAAAATAAGTTGGAGAAAGATTAAATTAGAGAACGCAGGAAATTCATGAAATTGAACACAAAAGGGTAGAAATAAAACAGACCGAGAGAAAGAAAACATATTTTATTAACTCTAACCTTTTTTTTTTTTTAAAGTTTTAGTGAGGATAAGGAAAAAGTGGCAAAAAATGATTCTCAAATTCTTAATTCTCACTGTTTATTGTAATGAAGTGTTTATATATGATATAGGAGGGTAGACAATTGTGCTTTATTTTTCAGCTTTTGAAAATGTTGATCATAAGAAGAGCTCAAACTCCTTGTCCTTATCCTACAGAAAAAAGGCTATTAATGACATAGACTCCATTAGCCTAACTACTGATGATCTGTTAAAGCTTCCAGCAGATGGATCATTACCTTCTTCCACTTACATGGGACCAGGTCACCGAACTAATAGGAAAAACAAGAAGTGCTTTGGAAGACTAAGTTCCTCGGACATTGAAAAGAATCCAAATTTTCAAGAGCCCTTCCTTCCCATGGGCAAGGATAACTTAGCTACTCCTCCTGTATGCACAAGTATAAATGGGAAGCAATGTGTTAGACTGAAAAACCCCAAACTTGTGAATAAGACTAATAAATGCATTTCTGAACCATCTTTGTCTTTTTGCAAGATAGCGTCTTCTAAGGACAGTTCAGAACACAATCTTGAAAAGAATTATCCAAGATGGCTTACTAGCCAGAAATCCGACCTTAATGTTTCAGGGATAACGAGTATACCTGATGTCAAATACCCGGTGTGGCTCCACAATCAAGACTTGCTGCCTGATACAAATAGTCAAAAAACATATAAAGTACTTAAAGAAGATCAGTGTTCCCCTAAGCATAGTTATCAGGCACAAAGAACTTCTCGGCTTATGAATAAGTTAGACTGTTTTGAGTATTCTTTTGAACCATCAAACTTTTCAACTTCCTTGCATGATGATAAAGGATTAGTTAATGAGTACAAATGTGACTTTGAATGTAGGCAATGTCAATATGAGAATCCACTTCTCCAAGGACAATCCAAAAAGCCATTCAGTGGTAATACTTTTTTATTTTAAGGAACCAAATGAAATGCTATAAATTTGACATAATTTAGGAGCTTTTGTGTTGTACTCTTGATGTAATGATCAATTGTTACATCTTATTGGTAACTGTTTATATAGCAGTTTGTTAACTACAAAGTTTCTTGCCCTTTTGTTTGAATGTCACATTCTGACATAACTTGCTATTAATAGATATGTATGGATTCCAAATTGTCTGAAATTCTTCTTGCCTTTGTGAAATTTTAGTGATTTGCACTTTTTCTTAAAGAACTAATATGATCTTTTTAAATTAGATGACAAAATTGAATTGCTTATCCTGAAAGCCAAGAGAAGTCTGGAACATCCTACTGAAGAGTTACCAAGCTCTACGAAGAATGATGGAAGTCCTTGTTCGTTGGATAAACTTGAAGCAGAAAGGTCATGGGAAAATATTCCTATTCCTTTGTAAGTAAGCAACAATGAAAAAAGTTTAGTTTTCTAAATGAAAAAATATCACAAGAACCTCTTATTTTTTATAAAATTTAGTGATTTAAACAAATAGTAACTATAGGATTTAGCTTTCATGTTGCTCATTTTAAATTATATTTTTCATTTGCTACCACAAGATGGTATAATGTTTAATAATGTAGGTATATAACTTCTTTGTTACATGGTCCTTTTGTTTCATCATAAAAATATTCACATAGATCTTATGAGGCATTCAAACCTAAAACAAATTATTTTTTGCAGACGAAAGAGTGTTGTGGAACTCGTTACTTTCTTTTTACTTTATTCTCTCCATATACTGGAGTCATGCAGTTCTTTTCATTTATATTTTACTTCATCTTTTAGTGACTTTTTTTCCTTAAATGATTATATATTTTCTTGTCTATTGTATAAAATTTATACTTCCTAAGATTGTTTTCATTTATGTGCTTAACTGCTCTATGGGACAGTTTCTCAGAATGATTTAAAATGTTTGCCCAGATACTTGTGAATACGAGAGAGGAGTTAAAGTTGGGACCTTAGGAAGGAAAACTTTTATTCTTAGTGGTAGTATACCTGAGTTTACAGAAATGCATTCTTGGTAATCCCACATCTTGCCTTAGGCTCTGATAATTTATCTATTATTTTCACTTGTCTAAACTTCCATTCTGTTAAGACTGAGAATCTGTTAGTTCCTGGATTTGTTTCCGATTACTGCTCAGTTGAACATCTTTCTCTTCTGTTGAATGTGGACACTCAATATAATCCAGTTTGGAGTCCTGGATTTATCATTTTACTACTGTGAATTTAGTGCAAGTTGCTTAATTTCTCTGTACCTTCGTTTCCTCAGCTACAAAATGGAGAAATAATACCCATTTTGGCTTTGTTTTGAGTATTTGATTGATTAGAAAATGAATATAAAACATTTAGTATAGTTTCTGACTCACTATGAGCTCTCTTGTAAGTTGTAGGTCTGATGATGATTTTCTAGAATATATCTTTTCCCTCCATTTAGCTTCATTCCTTAAGTTGTTTCAATAATTTCTTAAAAAAAAAAAAAAAAAACAACAACCTGGCTTAATAACTAGCTCACTTAGTTCTTTTTTTTTTTAACTTTGATTTATTTTTGTTGTTGAGAATATATACAGCAAAACATACACCAATTCAATAGTTTCTATATGTGTATTTCAGTTGTACAGTCATTCTCACCCTCTTTGTCTGAGTTGTCCCTCTGCTATCAATAAACTCACTGCCTCCTAAGCTTCTTATCTAATCTTTCCTGCTGTTCTTGTCACTTTGATTCCATATAGATAATTCTTGAAAAAGCATTATGCTCAAGGCAGACATTTTTTACTAGTTAAGCTAAATGATTGTTTGATTTTAAGCAGTTCATTCTGGTTCACCCTCCTACTGAGAATTTGCATTTCCACCCCAGATAAACTGTATTAGAATCTACATTTTAACAAGATGCACCTGATACTTATGTATATATGGCGTGTTTTTAAAATGTGATTTCTGATTCAGTAATATCTGGGCTGGAAAGGCAGTCTCAGCAGAGGGTCAAACCAGAATGAACCAGTTTGAAGCCCTGGTTGTAAGAAGACTTCAGGAGATATTTTTGGTTTCAGGTTTAAAGATGATGTCAGGGCAATAGTTTCAGGGGTTCACTCCTCCTCCACAGCTCCAGAAAGTCTGGATTCCATGTGATTTTGAAATTCTGTATTTTTTTCCCTTTTGAATAGGAGCTCACTTTATTCTTACACTTCTTTTGTTTTCCAGCTTCTTATTTTCTTATCAGTTGTCTGTGTATTTGTAAAGTGCCTTAGCTGCAGTGCTCTGCAGTTATTTCAATTGGAAACAAAATTGATGAGCATGTAGCTTCCAAGGTGTTTAAGGAGTAACATTTTTTTGAATGCATTAAATGTATTTTATAATTAGATACACAACTTCTTGACTTGTATAAAACTTAATATTAGCAATGGTTTGGCCAGTAGCTTACATACAATAGTTGATTTTTGGAAGATTGAATTAACATTATGATTAGTATGTTTAGATTGCTGAGAAAAAGGATTAGACTTCAATTTGACATTGACAAATTATTACTCTGTCATCAAAAGTAAAATTGAACAGAGAAGTGCTTAAGATAACTACAGTAAAAGGTAGAATAAAACCACAGATAAGTGCTTTTATGTTTCACTTTTTATTATAATAATTATTTATTATAATTATATTTATTATAATTAATTATTTCATTATAATATTATTATTATTAATTGCAAACAAATACAAAAATAGAAGAGTATACTGAACCCCATGTACCCAGCACCCATCTTCAACAATAAAAAATGCTTTTTGGTGACCGTGGGTAGATGCACAAACTGTAAGTAAAGCTGGGGAGAAGACTCCCTGTAATCAAGAAAAAGCTTATCACAAGGTATAAATCAGATGAGCCAGTAATGAAGTGTGGCTTGTTTAAAAAAATAGCATTATGGTATTTGTTTTATGAAGGATATCTGAGTACTGAGCTACCAACATATCTTATGTTGATATATAAGTAAATTAATTAATATGAAGAATGTTCCCAAAATCAATTTCTATTGGTCACAGAGAATAAATTAATATTTTTGCTATGGATGCCCTTTCCTCTCCTGCTTGATCATCAGGAAGGAAACTAGTATTTGTTGAGCATCTATTAAATGTACCAGATACACACAGTACTTCTAAGTCTATTATTGATAAATGGTACTACAGATATATAAATAGATGTTGAGATGAGTTACATAAGGTCATATAGCTAGTGGTTTTGGGATTTGCACTCAGGAATTTAAAGTTCAAAATTGATCCTTTTCCCACTATAATCTGCTTTCTGTATTGATGCTAGTGCTGGGGGAGAAATTTGCCTCTGTGTCCTGAAGTGAGGATACATATAACTGCCATTCCAATGGAAACTCTTGTGTTTTTCTGGATCATTGGGTAATTACAAATGTTTAATTGAAAAAAAAAAAATTCATACTTTTATTTCAAACAAATAAACTTTTGGAGTATAGCCTGCAGTTAAAGGCTTACTTATTTAGTTGAGGACTAATATCTTCAGTTTCCTTATAATTTTTCCTTAAAACTTTAATCAAAACCCAACCAAACTCATTGCCATTGAGTCAATTCCAATTGATGGCAACTCCGCATGTTAACGAGCAGGCCTGTTACATACGGTTTTCTTGGCTGTGATCTTTATGAGAGCATTTTGCTAGGCCCTTCTACCACACCATCGCTTGGTGGGTTCAAGTCGCTAACATTTAGGTTAGTGGTTGAGCACAGATTATTTGTACCTTTTGGGGACCTGTTGAAGATTTAAACCCACTGCCATCAACTCCTTTCTGACTCAAAATAACCCTTATAGGATTTCTGAGATTGTACATGTTTATGGAAGCAGAATACCTTATCTTTCTTCTGTGGAGCAGCTGGTGGGTTTGAACTGTTGACATCTTGGTTTAGCAGCTGAATGCCTTACCATAGCACCATCAAAGATTTAAAGTCTTGATAGATCTGTTTCTTATTAATGTCTACTCTAATATCTTTGCATTTAATATGTACCTTCTAATTAACACCTATTTATATATTGCCATATTTACAAATCAGTACCTCACTACCAAAGACTTGAACAATGCGTTTGATTATGTACATCTGTTAATTTAAACAAATTAGCTTTCTATTTAAAATAAATTTTTTTTTCTCAAGTTTAATTGCACTGTAGGTTTTATACTACTTTGAACAACCAATGAAGGTTTATTAAATGCCTACATGTTGAAGAAAATGGATTGTTTTGAGGATTTTAAAACCTATAAGACACATCCAAGGCTAAAGAGAGTCTTGTAGTACAAAATAAGAACTACAGATGCAAGACAGTTCTGCATAGTGGGTGTCAAATGAGTGACGTATATAAGCGTAGCATGTGCTTGGTGGACATGTCAGGCAGATGAAGGCTCAAACTTAACTGATCTTTAATTGAATATTATGTGTCAAATACTCTGGTGGTCTTTACCCATATGATTTATCATTTGGTAATGAAATGGAGACAGACCTTTAAGTTAGTTTGAAATTAGGTAAAGAAGAAGAGAAGATGATTCTGAAATTGAGTCATTGGTAACAAAGGCACCACATTGGGAAATTATAGTACGTGTTTGGTTGGAATGATTCACTCTGGACAGACTAAGAGTTTTAGATGACAAATCAGCAAATTTGTATTTGACTCAACATTGAAGAATTCTTTGATGATTTTTGAGCTACAGTTGGTGAGATAGATGAATGAAATATTCTAGGAAGACTGAGTTGGCGAGAGTGGGTATGGTCAACATAAGTGTGGGAAACAGATGTATTTTGGTAGTCATAAGGTTTCAGGTCAGGTCTAAAGTGTTGGCTAAATAGAAAATGAGCTAATTATCTTGCTAAAGATTTATGAAAAAGTATGTTTTTGGGCATTATGATTTGTTTAAGGTTATTAAGGCAGAGGAGGGCAGTGGTAGTTCAGTGGCAGGATTCTCAGCTTCTGTGCTAGAGAGCTGGGTTTGATTCCTGGCCAGGGCACCCCAGGTGCAGCCACCACCTGTCTATCAGTGGAGGCTTGTGTGTTCCTATGATGCTAAGCTTTTGCATTTGAGTCATGTGTTGGAGAAGAATGCTATGAGTACCATGGACTGCTAAAAGGACTAACAAATCTATCCTGGACGAAGTGCAGCCGGAATGTTCCTTGGAAGTGAGAATGGCGAGGCTTTGTCTCACCTACTTTGGTCATGTTGTCAGAAGGGATATCATGGAGAAGGATATCATGCTTGGTGAAGTGGAGGGTCAGCGAATAAAGGGAAGACCCTCAATGGGATGGATTATAAAGGGGCTACAGAGATGGGCTCAAGTCTAGCAAGGATTGTGAGTATGGCGCGTGACTGGCCAGTGCTTCCTTCTGTTGTACATAGGGTCGCTGTGGGTCGGAGCTGATTTGATGGTACTTAACAACAACATGATGCTGAGTAGGTTTTGGTACAGCTTCCAGATTAAAATTAGGAAGACAAACCTGAGACCTACTTCTGAAATTCAGCTTAGGGATGACAGTGGTCTGATCCTGTTGTATAGGGGGTCCCCATGAGTTAGGGGCCAACTCAGTGGTATTAACAACAACATGAAGGCAGAAGGTTAAATTGAGTACCTTAAATTTAAACTTTTTGTTATAAAAATATCAACCATACAATATAGTAGAGAGAATAAATATCCTGCCATGATAGGCAGCATATGATCTTTGAACAGGGATGATCTTGAACTGTTTTGTTATTGGTCTGTGCTGAGATAACTAGGAAGTAAGAGTAAGTGTTAAAACTTTTATGGCACTCCAATAATATTTTAATTGTATTTTGTAAAACTGTCAGCCTGTACTAGATTAAAAGAAAAGGAAACTTGCCCTTTAGCACACATAGTTTGAGAAACTAGTTAAAAATTAGATTCTCTTTACTTTCACATTCTCATTGTGATCCCTCTGGGGATTAAAGTCTGTATTTTATGTATTTATTTTTTTTCAGTTTTTTTTTTTTTTTAAATTGTGATTTGGGTGAAGATTTACAGGGCAAATTCACTTTCCATACAGCAGTTCACATACACTTTGTCTCATGACATTGACCACAATTTACCACAATGCAGCAGCTCCCCTCCCACTT